TCATAAGCTGGCAGGTGCTTTCCCCACCACTGCCCTTAGCAAATGCCCTCGCTGCCCGTGCTCTTGGGAGCATCTTGGTCTCTTCAGCCACAGGGTCCCTCGCCAGCTATGTGGTAACCAGAGCTGAGACACAGAAATGTTCTGACTTCTGGATTTACCTGGAGACAGGCAAGTCCCCACAGGAGCTCGCCATGGCTGGTAGGGCGTCTCAGCCCACAGGTATGTTCATGTCTCTTCATGCTGCTTTCCCTGGGCTTGTTCTCCCCTGCTGCAACAATTTGCTGTTTCTGCCTCATAATTAAGCTGGTGACTGTTTGTGTCATTGCCAAAATCCCCGTGTAAGTCCACGCTGGCACCCTGCAGCCGAGGGATGGGAGCAGGCACCTGGAGCTAGGGCAGCTGGAGCACCCTGCCTGGTCTCATGGCTCCTGTGTCTCTCCGTGCTCTGGGCCCATCACCTGTGCTGCAGGTACCTGAGCAGGGCTGGCAGCATGGGGTAGGAGCACTTGCTTCTGCCTGCTGCCCTGCCTGCTTTGTGGATTGATGAGAGCCAGCATGAAGGGCTTGTTGGCTGGAAGAGGAAGAAGAGGGTAGGGGATGGAGGGAGGCAATAAACCCTTCCACACCTTGGTTGGTCTGTATGGTGCACAGAGCTGGAGGGACATCAGCACAAGCCACTGCTGGGCAGTTCCCACAGCTGCTTGCTGCTTTCTCCCACTGATACCTTGAGCTCCCAAAGCTGGGCCTAGCTGAAGAGGCTTTAAACGCTTCACCAGGGCTCTGTGGTTCTCTTCCCACCCCTGGCAAACACGCCAGGATAGTCAGGGGTCCAGGGAGCTTGTTCTTTCTGTTGCAGAAAATCTGCCCAGCCCAGAGGACAACGAGAGTGCGGCACCACCAGTGAGGAGGAACAAGTACGGGGATGTTGTGGAGTAGCTGTCGGATCACAGCGTACTGTGCCCGTGTTCTTCTTCATCCCTTCCTGTCTGCCCAGCCTGCCTGTGCCTGTGCTGCCTGCGAGACTGGTGGGCTCTGTGGCACTGCCTGGGAGTTCAGATGAGTTGATCCTGCAGGTGGTGGAGGCACCGTAGGGTTTGCTTCCTCCCAGGTGGCTTCTGAACATTGCACATGGGGGCTACAATAAAAGTTGAGAGCTGAAAACGCTCGTTGTGGATGAAGCGAAGGCTGGCAGTTGGACAGGAAAAGCTGGAGTGCAGGTGGTAGATGTCACCGTGCGGCAGTCTCTGCAGTACATGTTGGAGCAGAAAGCTCTGGTCCCTCTGAGGCCACAGCACTCACAATCCAGCAGCGCAGGCTCTGGGCTAAGATCTGAGAGGACAGAGCTGTTGCTGTGTGCTCTGTTTTTTGAGCCTAGCCGATCACAATGTCCCTGCCCCTGTAGCAGGAAGGCTTTTCTTGCCTGCCTGAGTGGGGCTGAGCTGAGCCCTGCAGCTGCATGGCCCCTGGGGATGTCCGCTCTGCACGCACCAAGGGGGTGCACGCGTGCCCAGAGCCCCTCTGTGCGGTGCCGCCTTGCTCTCAGAACATGTCACCTGGCCAGGCCCAGACTCTCCATCCAGATCTGTAACCAGTGGCAAGGGAATGGTACTGTCTCAAATCCCACACACACAGAGGGGCATGTAGGAAGATTAAGAAGGCTCTTTTATGTCTTTTTTTTTTTTCCTAATAGGAAACTCCCAAGTCATGACTAGGGCAAACCGGCTGCTCTTGGTGGATGTCCAGCTCTGATTCAGCTGCAGCTGAATTTCTTAGAAGGGGAAACCCAGCCTGGGTTCTGGACGCTAGCTGGTTTCTTAGAGCAGAGCAGCAGCATTTCAGCTTCAGAGACCAGAAATGCCTCTTTCCGTGTGAGAGCTGAAGACAGTCCCTGGGCCTTGCCACGGAAGAGAGTCCCTGTGCTGGGGAGACAAGGGGCCCGGGGAGGAAACTGGGTCTGGGGGGCTCAGAACATCATCTGAACTGGAATCACATTTGCCCTGTGCAGAGAGATGGGGAGCAGCCAGCAGAACAGGTAAAAGCAAAGTGGCTGCGGGAAGCAGATGGGTTAAGCCAAGCACAGGAGCTTGCCTAGAGCAGGGAAGGGTGTTGGTCAGTGAGCGGACCCATGGAGCGGAACTTGTGCCACCTGCAAGAAATCGGAACTCTCCCCAAAGCCGCTCCTCTCTTGGGGTGTGCAGAGGAACGCGGCGGGGCGGGAGGCTCTTTCCAGATGGGGTTGACGAGTTGGGACTGGCCTCGCGCAGCTGCCTGGCAGCTGGATGCGTGCTGTGGTGGCTCTGAGCTGCCAGCGACTGCACAAGCCAATTGCCAACTCTGCGGGCTGCTCTCCTGCCCTGCTTGGGTACCAGAACAGGTCTTCTGGGAGCAGAGGTTCCCTACGTGTTTTCCTTGCATGGAGGCTGCAGCCGTGAGTGCAGCGGTGAATGCATGGGACAGAGTCAGCTCGAGTGCTTCCTGCTCATATCTTTGGGGTGACTGGATGCTCTAGCACTTGGGAAACCTGAACTTTGCAACTGTGGCTGGTTGAAACTCTTTGGTGAGCCTGAATGAGGTTTCAAGCCCACCTTGGTCCATCTTGAGGAGTTCTCCAGGCTGGTAGAACATAAAGCCATAATGGTGTCTCAGCACTGGGCAGGTTGCAAGGGATTGAGAACTTTGGGCAGCGCCTGACCTGTAGCTGTATCCAAGCAGACCCTGTAAGTGGCTCTAGCCCCAGGCTTGATCAGCCTGTTGCTGGTCAAGAGCCACAGAGCCATAGGAGTGCTTACAAAGATTTATTTCTGATTATAAAAAAAACAAAAAACAACAAACAAACAAAATGAAACCTGGATGTTTGCACATCCCTGTTCTTATTCAATTGGAAATGCAGGTGCATCCTCCCAGCTGCGTGGCATGGGGCAATGCAAAACTTAAATCCTAAAGCAGAGCAAAACCCCACTCCTGCAGTGAGCCCATCGCTGGCACAGCCACACACCAGGGAGCCACGGGGGCTTTTTGTGCCGTTGCCGGGGGGATGGAGGAGGCTCTGGCTGTGGCAAAGGCGAGTCTGGCTTAGGAACCACAGAAATGGGGAAGGCACCGTGTCCAGTTGCTGAAGCACGACCTGGGAAACTGCATGCTCTCTGCGTCTGGTTGATGCTAAGCCCCTACCCAAAGCCCCTGTGCTGAGGCTGGTGGAAGTCCAGACCAAGATCTGGCCCTCAGGAGGATGGATGGGGTTTGTGCATCAGCCAGAAAGACAGCATGGGCTCTGAGTGATGCCCAGAGCTCCCTGGGAGGCAGGGCTGGTGCTCCAGGGACAGGCTAGAGAGGTCAGCTATAAGGACTAGCGTAAGTAGTATTCCCCACCCACCCCATGCACATAAGAATGAATCCTGCTGTTGCCTGGACTTACTGGCCCAGTCCAGCCTAGGTTTGGTGGCAGAAAGATGCCCCAGGTCTGAAGGTCCAAATCCTGAGCCTGCTCTGGGGTTCATCCCTGAGTAACACTGGGAAGCCCTTAAGCCATTCTCCTGCAGGGCCAGCAATCCTCTTCTGTCCTTCTCTTTCTGCAGCTTAAAAGCAAGGGGAGGGCAAAAAGGGACAGCTTTCCTTCTGGGCCAGGCAGCATCAGGTACTGGAGGAGGACATCTCCAAGCACTTGCTGCATCCCAAGTGTTCAGGCCATGGAGATTCCAGCAGGAAGGATGGTGCTGGGTCCTGCAGACAAGGCTCAGCCTTTTCCTGCCGTTAGATTGTGCTGGACTTGCTGCGGCGGAGCAGGCAGATGGCAGTCACCAGAGACGTCAGGGTGGTGACCACAAAGAGCAGGATCAGGATGACCCAGTAGTTGTACAGCATGCTTTTGTGGGAAGAGGGCTTCTCTGCCGGGATCATGTTGGTGAGGTTCAGCATGTAGCCCAGGGCCCAGCCGATGGAGGTTTCTCCTGCCTGTGGAAATAGCATGGCATGGTCACTCCTCCAGTCAACCTAGCTCCATGGGCCTCAAGAGGGCTTCCAGGGTCCGCCCCAGTGTCAGCCCAATGGAGGAGAGGGGTGTCACAGCACCCTGAGCCCTCGCTCGCCCGCTGGTCCATCCAGCCCAGAGATGAAACAGTGACCATCCTGTGCTGAGCTGTGCACATCCGATGGGAGCAGGATCCCATCTGCTCAGGCCAATCCTGATCTCACTGCCTATGGAAAAAAAATTAGCTGAATGTAGGCTGGTCATGGAGTCAGGTCCTCCAGTCCTTCCTTGGCCCTCCAGACACAGCCATCTCAAACAACTCTTTGCTCAGGCTTCTTGGGAAGTTATCTCGGGGCAGGATTCCACCTTTGTCAAGTGCCCTCACCTGCACAAGCCATGGGATCTCCCGAAAGATCCGCCCAAAAACTGAGAGTCCCATCCTGCCCCTGTTCCCTGAGATCTTCTCTCACACTGCTTGGCTCTTTCTTGGTGTGGGATCGTCTCTCCTGCAGGACTTTTTGGCCTAACTCCAAACAGATACCATGGAATGGGTACATGCATTGTTACCCACCTTCTTCTGGAAGGCGATGTTGGGGAAGGAGTGGTTGTTGAAGTTGTAGCCTTTGGTGGTGAGCAAATAAACGAACGTGCTGACAGCGCAGTAATCCACCAGCCTCTTCTCCAGCTTGGGAGCTTTCTGGAGAAGCTGGATGGGATGCATGGAGGGAGAGAGAAAAGGGGTCAAGGCAGCAGGGTCCAGGCTTTGTTTTTGTGGCCTGAAGCTCTGGGTGTTTGCATCAGTCTAGCCAAGGTGCTGCCCCTACCCACCTGAGCCTCTCCTGGTCTGTGGGAGCGATCACCCACCCTTCCCCTACTCCATGGGTGCCAGGACCCCCAGCCCCCTCCAAAGAGCTGCTCTCAGAGCCCAGGTGATGCCCCACACGAAGCAGCCCTCTCCTCCCAGCCGTGCCCAGGGAACTCACCTTGCTCCAGCTGGTGGCACAGATGGTCTCAGCAGCATCCTTCAGGTCGCTGGGCAAGTGCACGGGTCTCCCCATCACTGTCTGGATGAAGTCCACAGTGTAGAAGAAGGCAGAGAAGGCCTGATGGAGGAACAGAGGCAGCTGTGGGACAGGCTGGGGGCAAACCCTCATGCCACAAACAGCCACTCTGACCGGTGTGGTGGGCACAAGCAACCACCCTTGCAGATCTGAGGGTCTGGCTTTGCCACTGTGTGATGCCGGGGGACTGGGGACACCTGCCCACCCAACAGCCAGGCCACCACACTGCTCCATGCCAGGACTTACGATGAAATTTCCTGAAACCTCCGGCTGGAAAACACCATCAAAGGAGCAGCGGGAGAAGGAGCAGGTGGTGAAGTTGAAGAGCTTGCTGACATGCAGAGCACAGAGGCTCCCGTTCCCCGTGCCGACCACAGTGACAGTGGTGTTGAGGGCAAGGCTTGGCTTCTCCTTCTCTGTGCAAGGACTGTCGTAGACACTGCTCAGTGATAGGCTCTTGTGGTAGCCCGTGGGCCAGCAGGGATGGAGGATGGTTGCTTGGTAGCTCTCAGCTTGCTGGAGAAGCAACACATGGGATGTGTGAGCTGTGCCATAGCCCCGGCTCCCCCGGTGCTGTGCAGCAGCCCCAGCACCGCTGCTGGCTTGGCTCCGTTTCCCTGCTGGGGAGATGTGGAGGAGCTTGGGCAGCGGGACACAGAGCTGGCAGTTGCCTCAAGCATCTTGAGATGACTCGGGACGTCTTGGCTCTGGCCAAGGGGTGCAACACTTTATGGAGAGAGAGGAAGGAAACCCTGGGACCACGGGAGATGGTCGAGGGCAAAACCCAAGAGTTGGCTGGGAAAGGTGTGCAGCCAGCCAAGTGGGGCTGTGCTAGAGCCAGGGCTGGGGGACACCCCTATATAAACAGCAGGGTGAGGGGGCAACTGTGGGATGATGACACCCGGCAT